GCCTGGAGACCCGCGACCGCAGCTTCCTCTTCGCGGCCGAGAAGCAGCAGAGCGAGGAGTGGGTGGCGAAGCTGTGCCAGATCGCCTTCCCGGTGAGCCCGGGGGTGGGCGGGGGCTGCAGGGAGCCGGCGGCGGAGGGCACAGGGACATCGGCGGGGGTGACCCTTTCCCACCTGGCAGCTCGGGGAAGGACACCCTGAGACAGCGCCAATGCTCCCAGGTTTAAAGCGCCCGGTCCTGGCACTCCGGTGCCCTCTCGATGGCTCTGCTGTGGTTTGTGGGACTCCTCAGCGTGTTGTCAATAATTCGTGGTTGTGGCTCCAAATTTCAAGTCGGGCTGTTGTCGCCCGCTGCAGAGCCCGTGCTCGCCCCTGCAGAGAGGTGGCGAGATGCCAGGTGATGGCCGAGGAGCGTTTCCTCTTGGCCCAGCCACTGCTGCCTTTCCTGCCACAGCAGCGGCATCGGAAGCGGAGCCTCGAGAGCGTTGTGGTGCCTTGGCTGTGGGACCCGTCTGATTCCAGGACCTGGAGCCCCCTTTCCCAGCCCTGGGGCTCACTCCTGGCTGCTGCTGGGGGCACCCCAGCTGTGCTGGAGCAGCTGTCCAGCCCCCTGTCCTCTGCAGCCCCTGGAGCTGGTGCTCAGCCGGTGTGACCAGCCAAGGCTGTTTGGGCAGTGGGTGCCCTGAGAGTGTGCTTTCCATGTCCTCTGGGACAGCAGCCCATGCCTGCTCCACAGTGCTGGCTCTCGGTCCCGGGAGATGTTTGCAGAGCCCTGGGTTGGGCTGCAGCCGATTTCAGGCTTGGAGTGCTGGGCAGGGCTGCCTGGCAGGAGGACTGGGTGCACAGCTGGTGATCCCAGGATCTCCTCCTGACGCGTGTTTCCCAAGTGTAATTTACTTTTGTCCCTCATGCATCTCCCTGCAGTCTCCTGGCAAGCCAAGTGTGTCTGTGCAGCAAATGCCAGGGCTGATGGGGCTGGGAGGCACTGATGGAAATGTCTCTGTGTCTCCTGGTGCAGTCAGGGTTGCAGCCTTTACCCTGAAAGTGGCTTTGTGGGGCTGAGCTGGGGACACAACACACCCTGGGAGTGGGGCAGGGTGGTGGCCAGGCCAGGGAGCACCTGCTTGGAGCAGGGCTGTGCTCGTGCCATCCCTCTCATGGGAGCCATCATTTGTGTGCCTGAGGTCCAGAAGAGAGCTGACAGTTCAGGAGGTTGTGAGCAAAAGGCTGGCATGTGTTTTAAAGAGGCCTGACCTGGAGCAGGAGGCACGAGAGCTGCACGTGGCCTTTCTGCACAGAGCTGGAGATCCTCAGCTGGGATTGCTGATCATCTGCATGGAGAATGTGATTTTGTGTCATGTTCCTGCCCAGAGGGTATTACAGCAGGGTCCAGCAGCTTGGGAGCTGGGACCAGAGATCATTTGGAGTTCAGAACAGATTTTTATTTTTTTTTTCCTTTTGAAGATGAAGAAAAGTGCAGTTAAATGGAGCCTTAGAGGCTTCAGCAGATTTGGTGGCCCTTGGCTTTCCAATCCCAGGCTGGAGCCTTGCTGCCTTGGATGCTTTAGCTGAGGAGGAGCTGCTCCTTTTTGCTCTCAGGACATGAGGTTTTAGGACCTAAACACAAGGGCTAGATGGCCCTTTTTGGGCCTTGTTTGGGCTTGTTAAGAAGCTCATGTGTGTGGGTTTTAAACCGAAACTGTGGCACTTGCCTTCTGCAAGATGAACCCTCTGCTCCTGCCCCAAGGAGCAGCTCCTGGTCACACACTGAGCCTCCCTTGTGCCAGCTGCGCAGGGTTCGGGGAGACTGTAATTTGTGAGGGGCTTTTCTGCAGGAGAATCTCTGAAGGCACAAGGCTTTGTGTCCTGCCCCATGCCCTTTGGGGGCCCTGCTGCTGGGACACAGTTCCTGAGAGCGCGTTTGTTGCGTTTTCAGTTCTGCATGTGCTAAAATAGAAGCGCTTGCTTCCCCCCTGCAGGTTCCCCCTCTTCCTTGGCAGGGCAGGACACAGACCCCCGTGTTACCAGGCCATCAGCCCTGGTGTGGCCAGGAGGGTGTGTTTGGGTTGTGCCAGGCTTTGGGGCAGCTCTCTGGGCTGTGCTGCCCTTCACCCTGACGGTGCAGAGCCCAGCTGGGGACAGGGTGCTGCCAGGAGCTCAGGGAAGTCCCCCCTGTGCTGCCTGGCCCTGTTCATCCGTGTTTGTGTGGGCTGAGGGGATTCTGTAGCCAGCTCTGGGGTGGGCAGGGTGCAGAACAGCCAGGCTGTGTGGGGCCAGGGAGGGCAGCAGGGCCCAGGCCATGCAAGGGGGTCTGGGGGCTGATGTGGGAAGAGGACTCTGGGTCTGATCTGCTCTCCTTTGCCAGGGAAATGGCCCCAGTGATGGCATGGTGTCACAGTATGGCCGAGAGGGCAGCGGGGAGCCGCCGGCCCTGGAGATGGCTGTGAACTCCATCTACTACACCAGAGATGAAGGTGGGACCTGCTGCTGCCCTGGCTTGGGGCCACCTTCCATGGAGCCTTGTCCTGCTGCTGCCTCATCACTGGGGCCATGCTGGGCATTGCCTGTGTGCCTCTGTCCTGCCCTGAGCAGCCCTGTCCCCTCAGTGGGGCCGGGTGTCCCCTCTGAGCAGCCCTGTCCCCACAGTGGGGCCGGGTGTCCCCTCTGAGCAGCCCTGTCCCCACAGTGGGGCCGGGTGTCCCCCCTGAGCAGCCCTGTCCCCTCAGTGGGGCCGGGTGTCCCCCCTGAGCAGCCCTGTCCCCACAGTGAACGCTTTCTGGGTGACGGTGCAGCGGACCGAGGCCGCCGAGCGGTGCGAGCTGCGCGGTACCTACGTGCTCAAGGCTGAGCGTGACAGCCTCGTCCTGAAGGACCCACGGACGGACAGGATCCTCTACGTCTGGCCCTACCGGCTGCTCCGGAGATACGGCCGGGACAAGGTGGGGCATGGGCGGCTCCGTGTGCTGCAGGTGCTCCCTTGTGGAAGGAAGGCTGTCCTGCAGCCAGCCCTGCCAAATTGCTGCAGCCCCTGGTGACCACGGCAGGGTCACCAGGGACATCTGTCACCTTGACTGTCCTCAGTTCCTGCCTGTGTCACAACGCTGAGTGTGGGCTGGCAGGACACTCATCCCCTCTGTGGTTGTCCCACTTTCACTGAGTCTCTGCTGCTCTCCTTCTCCATCCCAGAACTTCCCAGCTTCTGCCATGAGCAGGGACATCCCTCAGTGCTGCTCAGGCTCTCCCCAGGCTCCAGGAACCTCGGCTCCTGGCAGTTCTGTCTCTGCCCTGGGTTCAGTCCCAGGATGGTGGCCAGAGCAGAGGGGCTTTGAGACAGCAGTTGCTCTGGATTTGTTCACTCTGTGGAGTGAACTCCTTCTGTTCTCACTGACCTTTGAAGGTCTGCCCCTCTCCAGAGTTCTGCAGTGAGTCCCCAGTCTGCCTTGGTGCTTCCCCGAGTGCAAGAGGTCTGGGCCACATGGGACAGGGAGGAAGTGGTGGCCCTGGGGTTGTTAAGTGGTGGCCCTGGGGCTGTTGATACCACTGACCATGTCAGCTGAACGCTGTTTATGGTGCTTTCTGCTGCACATTCCCAAAACAAAGGTGGAAACCAAGCTGCCCTCATGGGGATGTCAGATTCATCTGCAGAGTCTGTGCTGGTGGCAGGAGGAGAGTTTCAGAGTGTGGGGATTTCTTCCTCTTTTTCTTCACTAAAAGAAGTTTGTCCCTAGAGACCTTTGTAGCAACCACAGGGGCTGCTGCTGGCTGTGAGGGAGGCAGAAAATCTCCCCTGGTTAAGGGAATGAGGCTCAGGAAGGGTGTGGGTATCAGCTGGTGGGAACCTGCTCACCAGAGTGTGTTCAGGCCACAGGAAGCACGGCCCTGGTGCAAGACTTCTCTTTTGAGGACCTTTTACTATGAACAGATCAATGCTGGTAGATCAATGCTTTGCTTACTCTTGGTAACTGAGCTGCTGCTGCTGGGCTTTCTCCTGTGGAAAGCTGTGTTCTTCCTCTTGCACCTCTTGCTTCCAGACCGCTCCCTTCTTACCTAAGAGTACATACTAGTTTCCCCTGCTGAACTGTCACTCACCTTTTCACCCTGCTCCTTCCTCAGGGTTATTTCCTAGACTGTCTGGTGCCAGTGCTTGAAACTGCTGGAATTGCTCACGTAAGGCAGCAGGGCTCCAGCAGGAGCTGCAGCTCTCTGGGGCACTCGCAGTGATGTCCCCTCAGGTGTGCTCCAGTTATACAGGTTGTAGTGTGGCCTTTCCCTGCCCAGCTGCCGGGCACAGGGTGGTCCTTGCTGTGGGAGTGTGTGGAGCAGGATTTCAGGGCAGTCTGTCCTGCAGGATGTGTGGGATCAGTGCCCTTTGGTGGGGAGCAGAGCCTGCACGATGCGCTGGGTCAGCAGGTGCTGAGCAGGATGTGACCCTTCTGCTTCCCCTTCAGGTGATGTTCTCCTTCGAGGCTGGCAGGCGCTGTGACTCAGGACCTGGAAACTTCACCTTTGAGACCAAGCAGGGCAACGAGATCTTCCGCCTGGTGGAAGCCTCCATCCAGGAGCAGAAGGCGCAGGTGGAGGAGAACCGGCAGAGCTGTGACTCGCTGGAAGCCGACAGCCCCAGCATGGTGCAGATCCGCCAGGCCCTGGCTGACAGCCTCAGCCTGGAGCTGCCTGCTGAGGGGGATGACACCCCGGCACCCAAAGCGGGGCTGGCACCCAGGGCAGCAGCAGCAGCAGCAGAGGAGAGAGACGCCGCGTCCCTGCTGAAGAGCCGGACTCTGCCAGAGCTGCCCGTGCCACCGGCCAAGCCCACGGCATCCAGCACCCCCCCGCGCTCCCCTCTGCCCAAGGCACTCCGTGCCGTGCCGCCGGCCGAGGACCCGTCCAGCGTGTACTCGGAGCCCCTGGACTCGGTGAAGGG